CAAATAAGATCGAAAAAAACAAAAAAAACAAAAAAACAAATAATGTGTAAATTGAAAGAGAAAAAGAGGGAGCTCAAGAAGAGAGTGAGGGGGGATGCTAAAAAAAAGAGGAAAGGAAGGGGGGCAGGATGGGGGGCTGGGAGGGGGTAGGGGTGGGGTGAGGGGAGCTTTGAAGAAGAAGAATAAAAGGGGGTGAAAGAAGAAGAACAAGAAAAGGGGTGAAAAAAGAAGAAGACAAAGAAGCGGTGGGGGAGGGAAAAGAAGAAAAAGAAAGGGGTCAATTTAAAAATTATAAAATATAAAAAATTAAAATTTGGCCCAAATGACCTGCTGGTTACTTGAAAACCGGCTTGAGGTACCATTCGTGAAAGGTTTTCAAAGTTCGGGGATTTTTTTGAAACGTTTTGAAGTTTAGGTACCGAATCGAAATTTTCGTGAAAGTTGAGATATCATTTTTGAAATTTACCCCACTTTGGGCAGTCCGTGCTCTAGAGGTCGTGAGTGGTTAGAAGTGGGAGTTTTAAAATATTTATTTATTTATTTATTTGCAAATGATGTCCACCCAGAACATAAGTTAAAACTGAGTGAAAAAGATTAAAATAAGAGTAAAAGGAAATAATATTTAAAGAAAATAATATATGAGTAAAACCTAGGGAAAAAGACTAAAATAAGACTAATATAAGATTTAATATTTTGTGGAGGGGGGGAGGGGGGTGGTGTTAAATGAATTAATATTTCCGTATATATTATTATTATGTACCCCCTCCGTCCCAAAAAGTCCTTCACGTTTCAAAAAAATTGCGTCCCAAAAGTTTTTCCCAGCCATTTCTATTAAAAAACCACTTTTACCCCTTACTTTTTCATACCCTACATATCATATCATCTCTTTTTACTAATAATCTACACATCACATCATACTTTTACCATCATATCAAGGGTATTTTTGGAAAGTCAACACATACAAAATTATCCTCTCTTATTTTTCTCACTTTAGTCAAAACGACCTTATCATTTTGGGACGGAGGGAGTATATGATAGTTTCCTTGTATATTTATGTTTCCTTTCGTATTTCTTTCCTTTTGTATATATTAATTTTCATGCATATAGAGTTTTAGCATGTGAAATCATATAAATACACAACCTGTAGAAATTGATAAGAGAGAAAAATATTCTGTATATTGAATTGTTCTTGTGCTTACAAAGGTCTAACCTCCTTTATATAGGAAGAGAGTAAAGCATTTAAGTAACTTTTATTCCTACCATATTTCTATTCCTACTATAACAAGAACTAAGCAAACTAGGAAAGATACTAAACCGAATCCCAAAGAGATTCAGTTTCCTTCTTTGATCTGGCTTCCTTCTTCTGTCGCCAACACCCCCCTCAAGCTGGAGCATGGGAGTTCAACATGCCTAGCTTGGACATCAAAAGATTGAACAAAGCAACAAAGCTTGAGGAAGCCGCTGCCATCGTTGTCCAAGTTTAGTTTTTTTTCTTCAACGGAGAAGCCAAGCTTTTCGAATCCGCCGAATAATTAGTCGAGTAAAGGAACGCCATTCTTTTCGAACCTTCACCGTATTCGAACAAACAGGGGGAACGTCATTCTTTTCGAACACCCTGAACGCCGACTTTTTTTTATTTCCTGCTAAGGAAAGAGTTGCCTGTCTCTGTAAAACAACCCTTCTCGGACAACTTCTTCAAGATTGATGGTTGGGCGGGATTCCTCGACAGCAATGTTTTTCGTTGAAGGAGTTCATGATATTCTTTAGTGAGGGAGAACAATCAAAGAAAATCAAAAATTACAATATCCCGCCGGTAGGCATTGAATTTTGTAAGCCCACCGGCAGGGGAAGAAGCGTGTTTGAGGTCTCAAGAATTCAAAACTTGCTCCGATACCATGTAGAAATTAAGAGAGAAAAATATTCTGTATATTGAATTGTTCTTGTGCTTACAAAGGTCTAACCCCCTTTATATAGGAAGAGAGTAAAGCATTTAAGTAACTTTTATTCCTACCATATTTCTATTCCTACTATAACAAGAACTAAGCAAACTAGGAAAGATACTAAACCGAATCCCAAAGAGATTCAGTTTCCTTCTTTGATCTGGCTTCCTTCTTCTGTCGCCAACACAACCCTTGTTCAAATTGTAATCAATCCATATATAGTTTGAAAGAATTATTTGGGAGGAAGGAAGTGAATTTAAGGGAATATTTGGATGTATTTTGTTTTTGGTAGTTCTCTTGTATAGGGATTTGTTTCCTTTGTTGATTAGGATTTTCAGCATGTGAGAGCCTATATATATGACTTCTTTGTAAATTGTAGAGATGAGAAATACAAGAGAATTTCCTCCCAAATAATTCTTTAATGGTATCAGAGCCAAAACCCTAGAGGATTTCCGCGGCTACTGTTCACGATCGACCAGCATCGCGTCCATTGATCGTCGCTCGCTGTAGCTGCCGTACCACCGGAAAAATCAAGTAAGGAAAAATGTTTTCACAGAATACAACATCCCATGACACACTGATCTTCCCAGTGTCTGGGAAATACACGCGCCAACCCTTCTCTCCTTGTGGGTATCCCAAAAATATTCCAGGAATACTTCTGGGTGCAAATTTATCTCCATCTATTTTCAAATTGTGTACATAACATTTGCAACCAAAAACACGTATGTGGGTCCGCATAGTAACCGTTCCATGGAGTTTCTCATACGGTGTAACCCCCTCTAGCAATGAAGAGGGTGGCGGTTGATCAAATATGCTGCAGTTTGTATACAATCTCCCCAAAATTCAATAGGAAGCCCTACCTGAAATCTTAGAGCTCGACCCACATTCAGAATATGACGATGTTTGTGTTCCATTCTTCCATTCTGCTGCGGTGTAGACACACAAGATGTCTCACGAATAATTCCTTTTTCCAGAAAATATTCATTCAAGCATTCAAATTCTGTGCCATTGCCACTGCGAACACACTTTATTTTCTTATCAAACTGATGTTCAACCATGGCACAAAATTGCTTAAAAACACTTCCCACTGTCCGCTTAGAATCAAGCAAATATACCCACACATCGCGAGAAAAATCATCCATAATAGTCAAAAACATTGTAGAACCATCCAAACTCGGCATCCGATAAGGACCCCATAAATCACAATGCACCATATCAAATTTATCCGCAGATTGATGGAAACTGATGGGAAAACTACCATGAGTTTGTTTAGCGCGTAAACAGACATCACAATGACTATGACTACTTTTATTTGAACCAACTCCAGGAACTAAGGACAAAACAAAACATGCGAAGAAGGATGTTCTAGATGCTTGTGCCAAAGGTCAAAGGAATTCTCCTTCGTAGCACTGCATGCCATGCTTCTTTCCTCCTTCTTCAAATAGTACAATCCTCCTTCATGTCTACCCACACCAATCGTTGTCCTCAAACTCAGGTCCTGTAATATGCACACATCATTGGTGAACTTTTCCTCACAGTTCAAATCCCTCGTCAACTGTGAGACTGAGATCAAATGGCAACTCAAAGTTGGAACAAACAACACATTCTGTAGTGTTATAGTCTTTGTCAAACCAACCTTTCCAGATTGAACAGATACTACTCGTTTTCCATCGGGTAACCCAATTTCGCATGGAGTCACACCCACCACATCATACAATAACAAAAGATCAATTGTCATATGATTTGGTGCACCCGTATCAATAACCCAACGTGGTGACACAGGAATACCTGTAAGTTTCTGATTGGTCTGTAGGGGACAGTGCAAGGGCATGACGAACAGCGTTTCACTACTCCAGAGTCAGATCCTCGAAATTGGGTAGCGGTGAAAAACCATTTTCCTCTCCTTCCTCATTCTTTTTGTTGGAAATAGTCTTCATGAGTGACTCTTCAGACATGCCGGATGACGAAGGTCAACGATGGGGCGAACAGCAGCAGCGATCAAGGCAAACTGTCGTCGGGACAGTCGACCCACTCGACCGTTCTTCAGCCACGGTTGACCGTTCTGGTGGTACGGAAGCTACAGCGAGCGACGATCGATGGACGCGATGCCGGTCGATCGTGAACAGTAGCCGCGGAAATCCTCTAGGGTTTTGACTCTGATACCATGAAAGAATTATTTGGTAGAAAATTCTCTTGTATTTCTCATCTCTACAATTTACAAAGAACTCATATATATATATAAGCTCTCACAGGCTGAGAATCCTAATCAACAAAAGAAATAAATCCCTATACAAGGAAACTACCAAAAACAATATACATCCAAATATTCCCTTATATTCCCTTCCTTTAACATAGTTCAAGAGAAATATTTTCTCCCAAACATTGTTCAAATTGTAATCAATCAAATGAGAAGAATAAATTAGGAGGGAAGAGTACTATGGTATTATTAGAGTTCATGAGAATGTTATTACGTTGAAAGATTGGATTGATATGTCAAAAGAAGAAAAAATATGTCTCACTAAAAAAAACCCAAGCCCGTTTGAATGTATAGCTAGCATACAGGTTCGTTTAATCTATTACCTCAGGGATACAATAATACGTTTGTACAATCACTAATCATCCATGCTAACACAACATCGTACGTGTCTTTGAAAAGACCTATAATTATACCTACTCCCAAAAATCACCTTCTATTTTTCCATGAAAAAACAGTAACATCTTTTTAGAGATGGAGGAAATAGTATTTATTTAAACTTATAACTAAACATGTAATAATATGTTTTTTTTCATTTAAACAAATTATAATTATTATATATTTTTTTAATATGGCAAAAAATCGAACTGAAAAAATATTTTTAAAAGTGATTGCTTAATAGTTTCTTTGCCTTTAAAGGTGGTGACAATTTAGCCTTTGAATCCCACTAATATTTGAGGGTGTTTAATTCTCTTTAATTATCGTTATCTGTCTCTCTCTCTCTCCTTCTCTCTCTCTCCATCATGTTTGGTCACTCTTAATTATTTATACCCTTCATTTCTTGCTCTTAAGTCTTATCCTACAAAAACTCTTTCCTAGCTTAGCTTGTAATAAATATAAGTTCTAATTATTATAGATTTCATGATATTAAAAACACAACTATATTCCATATACTCAACCTCATAATAATCTCAAAAGTGCATTAAACATGAGTTATGAGCCAAACACAACGCTTAACTTGAGCTTATTGTCTAAGAACGAGCTCAAGTTGACGTCGCCCCCTTCTTCATCGTCGCGAGTATTTGCATGCAACTATTGTAGGAGGAGATTCTTTAGCTCACAAGCCCTTGGAGGACACCAAAACGCTCACAAGTTGGAGAGAACCCTAGCCAAGAAGAGCATGGAGATGAGCCTAGCTGATGCCCGAGGGCTTGGCCCAGGCACTAATTATAGGCAAGCCGATGGTGCAAGGAGCTATGGAACTATGAGGGAAATGGTTTATGGTCACAAGCCTGAGAAAGGTCAAGAGGACTTTAGTCAACTTGACTTGTCTCTAAGACTTTAATTTCACTACGGCTCAGATGACATTATTTCTCCATGTCATGTCGATCATGAACTGAAATTGGTTTGCAATGTCATGCACTCATGCTATTACATCCAAATTTTATGATGTTTCAATGGGACCGGAAGTGGTTCTTAGCCTCTTGCCTTCTTTAATTTCATTATTTCACAGATTTGATACAATGTTATTGTAGCAAATCGGTAAATGAAAAAGATGTTTAGGGGTAGGAACCATTTTACGGAGCATCCTATGACTTTTCAATAGACTCAAATCATCCTGCAATATAACCTAGGGGCTTTATATGGCGATCCGTACACGATGCCCTTTAATCGGTACAAGTTTACGTGTTCATATTATTCTTTTGGATTAAGCTATTTGTACACTAAAATTTGTATCCTATTTTATACCCCAAAGGCAATGCATCGACATTTTATGCTAGTGTGATGATTTACATTATATTGGAAAAAATGTTAGTGCAACTTTTTTTAATTTAACTAACATTTTCTACCTGTGTGAACCGTTAAAATGTCGGTATATTTCTTTGGGGTACACTTTTGGTGTACATCTAGCATGGTTGTATTCTTTTTACCCATATTTTACTCATATCCAATGGGTGAATGAGTTTTAGCACATTGATTCTCCCTCCTTGATCTTCTAAAATGACCATTTTGCCAAGAATTAGTAGCTAAAAGTTAAAATACTTTTTTATTTAAATTGAAATGCAATAAATAATTAAATATAACAAGAAATGTTTTGTAACTTAAGAAAAAATATAAATAAAAAAAGATTCAAGTACTCTACGTGACACTAGTTGAAAGTTATGTCGGTAATTTCCATCTTCAAATATGAAGAAGTATGAGTAAAAAATAGCTTTTAGACTTAAAAGTTTATTTCTAGGCTAGTCATAACACTACTATACGCTCTGTAAAAAAAGTACTTCCTTCGACCCATTTTAAGTTGGTTGTATTTCAAGTTGGTTGTGGTTTACAATGTTCGACTAAACATATTTTTAAACTAATTTATTCAAAAATTACGGTGAATTTTTAAAAAAAAGAGTATATACATTTAAAAACAACCTAAAAATTGTATGTGTATTGCTAAATCCACCCTAAAAAATTGCTATATACAGTCCTTTTTTCAATATTTACTAAATCTACACCTATTAACATTACTTTAACATTGGTGTGGATTTAGCAAATTCAAGTGAAAAGAGTGGATATAGTCATTTTTTGGGTAGATTTAGCAACACCCAAATTGTATACAGTGTGACAAGATTATACTTCGTAATATTTTACCAAATAAGTAAAAGAATGAGTGAAGTATTTAAAATTTTACCATTTGAATAATAAATATAGAACTTAACATAAGTCTAAAGGAATAATAAATTGGAAAAATTATCTTAAATAATTACACATTTTCACTCTTTTCCTAAATAATCCAGATTTTCACTGTCACGGGAAATAATTTCACCTTTCTCCATATGTGCCAGTTTTGAATCGCTATTAAGAAGCTAACTTTCATTTAGCGAAATGTTTGAAAAATACTTGTTTTTTGCAAATCAATGAAATGTGTCCTTTTCAAAACGTTTGAATTGTTATTTTGTGAAAAAATTCTATTAAATTATCAAAAAAATCACTAAGTTTTGCAATGTCATTTTGTAAAAAATAATACGGGTAATACATGATTATTGATAAATATTTCGAAGTGTTGTTAATGAAAAAAATTGTCATACAAAAAAATATAGTGAGTTATGATAATAATAGTTTCATTTCAAAGAAAAACTATCGGGTCATTTTAACAACTATTGTAATGTTATTTTGTAAAAACACATGTATAAGGAATTATCGAAAATATTCACAAGTTTCGTAGTGCTATTTTTAAAAAATAATAATATATTATCAAAAAACAATTTGAAATATTGCTCAAGAAAATAATTGCAACTTACAAAAAAGTAATGAGTTATGAAGTAAATTAATTAGTTCCATTTTGTAGAATAATTTATTGTGCAATTTCACAACTTTTGTAGTATTATTTTGGAGAAAAACATTATTATTGGATTCTCTTTTTTCATTTTTTTATATTTAATTTTAAATTTCAATGTAGTTTTTAAAAATGGTTTTATAAATACTACCAAATTTAAGTTTTCTTTCTAGAGTGACACTAATTATTGTTTTTCAATAATAAATTAGTTCCATTTTGTAGAATAATTTATTGTACATTTTGTAATATTATTTTGGAAAAAACAATTATTACCAGATTCTCGTTTATTAAAAAAATAATTAGTGTTACTCTGGGAAAAAGACTTAAATTCAATACTATTTATATTAAAAAAATTTTAAAAAAACATTAAAATTTAAAATTTAAAAACAAAAAAATGAATTTACCTAAAATAATCTCACTTTTTATTTATTTACAAAAAACAAGCATTTTCTAAAAATTCTGATAAATAACTGTTAGCATCTTAACGACGAATCAAAACTAGCACACATGAGAAAATGTGACTCTTTCCGTGACCATGAAAACTCGAAGTATTTTGAGAAGAACGCAAAAAAGACAATTCTTCCTAGTAAATTTCATCCCAATTTAAAGGCTCCTGGTGAGTTAAAAAAATACTCCTCCGTCCCAAATTATTTGCAACGTTTGCTTTTCAGCAGTCACGGAAACTTTTGTTTATTTCTATGTTTTCATTGGTTATTTGATAAAATAAAATATTTTTGACACCTCTTATTTCAAAGAACTTTTCATATAGTTTTTTTATATGTAAATTTTATTTTTTTATTTCTATACCAATATATAAATAAAATGAACTGAAAAAACTTGATATTTTATTTCGGGAATACAAGTGTGGCAAATATTTAGGGACGAAGGGAGTAAGATATAGAGTTCTTCTGACAACCAATCTCACCTAGGAACAAACAACAACGACAACAACCCAGTTGAATCCCACTACAGTAGGGTCTGGGAACAACTTTTTGAATATTTACAGCCAACCTTGGGTAGGGTTATATAATCAGTTCCAAAACCTAGGGTTCATTAGTTGCACCTAACCTTATTTCCTTTATGTGGTTGTGCAAAAGACTATAAACATGGGAGATTCAGATACATTGGCATATAGTGTAGAACTCATACACACAAGAAATCTCAAAACAAGAATACCTATCATCCATTTTTATTTGAGTAGTAACTCACACTTTGCCCATATCTCTGATTCAATTCCAAAGTAGCCAATAAGCTAGCACATATAAAGAGTCAAAATCGAAATCATCTACACACATCTATGGCATATGCACAGTGAACTTGCCTGAATTTGTTCAATTCAATTGCTCAAAGTTGTATCTTTATAATGGGAAAAAAAAAAGATTGCACATAGGCCATCAATAGCCATCAGTGGCTTTTACCAAAGCATAAATAATGGAGCTTCAAATGCGCCAACTTAAATTATAATAATGCAGCAGATCATAGGAGGAAGCTGTTCTACCTTTTATTGTTTAAAAAAAGTGTGTAGGAAAACCACTACAAACTTCATAATCACCGGCCTTCATGAGCAGAGCGGCTGTTGTTGAGTGATACAATGTATATTCCCGCCTCCTAAGACGATCTCCCTTGCACCTTCAATTCTAACTACCTGTGCCAAACAAGTCCTTGACACATCAGATGTTAAGCTCAGCAGAAGAGTGAACATTGCCATTTACATCAACATTGCACTTGAAACATTATAGTGTGCCAGGATATAGCAATCAAAATAGGCCTCATTTTGTATTGTTTGGTAGCATCAATTTTTTCACCAAAAAAGAACATAGTTTAATACGTTGGCAGAAACAGAGAATGATGCACAAAGTGAGCTGTGGCTGAGGCGCGCCTCAAGGATAAATAATTTTTTCTTAATTAATAACCATAAAATATCATTCTAGGGTTATTTAATCATCACCATCTTCTTCTTCTTCTTCGGTTATTTCTACGCTTCTTTGCTTTCTCTCATATTGTTTTTTTTTTAATTTTGTTTGTTTTTTTCTGTTTTTTAGCCCCTTTCTTATAGTTTTTACTTTGAAATTCAGCATAGTCATATTTGATTTTGCTAAGCTTTTTGTTTTTTGGTGTTTTCTTATCCCTCTTTCTACACATTATATCCCTTTATTAATTTCTAAAATGTTTTTAATACTTTTTTTCAGCATGAAAGAAAGAAGCCTGATTTGTAATGATAGTTGCTATTTGTATGTTACTTTAAAGTTCAAACCATGAACTTTATATCTTCTGAATTTTATGCTCCATTTTTAATGCGGGTTGTGATTTGTATGTGTTTGAATGGTTTTCTTGTTAATCTGAAATGTAATTCTCTTTATGTTCGTTCTTTAAACCTCATGTTCTTGAGGCGCGCACCTCAAATGTGCCTTGTGCCTCTACGTGTTAGGCCCCCTTTGTGCCTCACGCCCTTAATAACTATGGTACTCGCAGGGGCAGGCAGGGCTAGGCTTTGAATTAGAAAGTAGAATTTAAAGTTTTAAATTATTTTTTTTGGGGGGGG